ACAAGTATAAGCCTATGTATATATTTGGTGTTGTGGAAATATAAATTTTGATCTTTCACTGCATTTTCAAATACAACTGTTTTACTTTCTGAATAGAGTGTCTCCTCTCCAACTAGATACCTGGGATAAATAAGAATAGAAGAAGGGACTGTGTCTGCCTCTGATGAGTTTAAAATCTACTTAAAAAATGAGATTTGAAGGCATAAAAATAATAATGCCCTACACTTTGTGAAGTAATTATTGTCACATTATTCCATTTAACCTTACAATGTCAAAGCAGTGGTCACAATGTCCATTACAAAGAGGAGACTACCAAGGCCCAAAGAAAGAACTGACTTAATCAAACTTGGCCACAGAGCCATTCCTGAATACACACACTTTCTCCTTTTTAAAAAACCTTTATTAAGTTTCTTGGTAGATTTTAAGTATACAATACAGTTACATTCATCATTGAGATCTTGTACCTTTACATGACTTATCTTCATTCTTATTTTTCCCCATTCCCTAGCCCTCCCTTTAGCCCCTCCACCCTTCCCAAGTTACAAAGACATTTTTTCCATGTTTTTCTGTTTTACTTATTTTTTATTTTCCCATTTTACCTTTCCTCTACCCTACCACTTCCTCTACTGTTTTAGACCTTTTCTTCCTATTACACAATATCATTTATACATTATAATCCTAATTTACACTTTTAGTTTTTCACACCAGAGAAACTATTTGGTATTTACACGTGTGACTTATTAATTTCACTTAAGACAATGACCTCAATGTTGATCCACTTATTTATAAATCACTCTAGTTTCTTGTTCTTTATAGGTGAGTAGTACTCCATTTTATAAAAAAGAATACATATTCTTTATCCAATCTCCAGTTGATGGGCAATTGGGCTGTTACCAAATTTTAGCTATTACAAACTGTGCCACTATAAAGATGGGTGTGCATATATTGCTGTGGTATGATTTTGTTCATTCTTTTGGCCAGATACCCAGCAGAAGAATAGCTGGGTTAAATGGGACTTTGAATCCCAGTTGTTTGAGGTATTTCCATATTGATGTCCACAGTGGTTGCACCAGTCTGCACTCCCACCAACAATGGTGAAGGGTTCCTTTCTTCCCACAACCCCACCAGCATTTTTTATTGGTTAATTCCTTGATAGCAACCATTCTTACTGGGGGAGCTGGAATCTCAGTGTTTTTTTTTTTCTAATCTGCATCTCTGTAATGACCAGTGATGTGAACGTTTTTTCATATGTTTATTGGTTGCTTTCACTTCTTTGTCTGAGAAATGTCTGTTCATTTCAGATGCCCATTTTTTAATTGGATCTTTATATTTGGGTGGTCTAAGTTTTTTGAGGTTTTTATACATTCTAGATAGTAGACCTTTGTCTGAGGAATATCTGTTAAAATTTTTTCCCACATTGTGGGTTGTCTCTTAGCTCTACTTGTGATTTCTCAGGTAGTTCAGAAACTTTTTAAAAAGATGAGATCCCAACTGTTGATACTTTGTGCTAATTCCCATGCTAGTGAGGATTTGTTCATAAAGTACTTTCCTATGCTGATATCTTCAAGAGTTCTGCCTAATTTATCTCCCAGAAAGTTTAGTGTTTCTATCTTAATGTTTATATTTATAATCCACTTGGATTTTAGTTTAGTGCATGGTGAAAGAAATGAGTCTAGTTTTAATCTTTGACAATATGAAATCCAGTTTTTCCAACACCACTTACTAAAGAGGTCATCTTTCCTCCAGTGAGGATGGTTGGTACCTTTGTCAAAGATGAGGTAGCTGAGTATATCAGGAGTTGTTTCTGCATCTTCTAATCTGTTCCACTGATCCTTGGGACTGTTTCTTTGCCAGTACCATGCAGTTTTATCACAGCAGCTTTATAAGATAATTTCAAGTTGGGGATGGTAATATCCCCTCCCATGTCTCTGATGTCTAGAATTGCTTTTGCTATTCTAGACTCATTCCAAATGAATTTTTGGATTGTTTTCTCTAGTCTGTGAAATATGCTGTTTGGATTTCAATAGGGATTGCATTGAATCTGAGTAGCAGTTTTGAAAGTATGACCATTTTCATTATTCATCCTACCCAGGAACAAGGGATGTCTTTCCATTTTCTTATATCCTCTTCAATCTCTTTTTTCAGAGTGTTGTAGTTCTCAGAGTAGAGGTCTTTTGTTTCCTTTTGTTAGATTGATTTCTCAATATTTCATTTTTTGGTTGCTATTGTGAATAGGATTGTTTCTCTAATTTCTCTCTCAGTGAATCTTGTTATTTGTGTACAAGAAGGCTGTTGATTTTTGAGTATTTATCTTGTATCCAGCTACTTTACTGAATCTGACAAGTCTAGAAGTCTGGAGATTTTTGGGCCTTCTATCTAGAGTATCATATCATCAACAAATAATGAGTTTCACTTCTTTTCCTATCTTTATTGCTTTTATTTCTTTCTCTTGTCTAATTGTCATAGCTAATGTTTCCAACACTATATTGAACAGCAGTGGCGATAGTGGAAGTCCTTGTCTTGTTCCTTATATTAATGTGAAGGTTTTCATTTTTTGACCATTGAGTATGATGTTGGCTGTTGGCTTTTCATAGATAGTCATTATGAAGTTAAGATAAAACCATCAATTCCAATTTTCTGCAGGTTTTTAAAATCATGAATGGGTGTTGAATTTTTTCAAATGCTTTTTCTGCATCTATTGAGATGATCATGTGGTTTTTTTCTTTGACTCTGTTAATATAGTGTATTACATTCATTGTTTTCTGTATGTTGAACCATTCTTGCATCCCTGGGATAAATATGACTTGGTCAGGGTGTCCTTCTTCTTCTTCTTGATGATCCTCTGTATTCTGTTTGCCAGTATCTTATTGAGGATTTTTGCATCTATGTTCATTCAGAAGATTTACCAGCAGTTCTCTCTTTTGGTTGGGTCTTTCCCTGGCTCTAGAATCAAAGTACCACTTGCTTCCAGGAATGAATTTGGAAGTATTTCTTCTCTTTCAATTTCATTGAAAAGTTTAAAGACTAGTAGCAATAGATCTCTAAATGTCTTGTAGAATTCAGCAGTAAAGCCATCAGGGCCTGGGCTTTTCTTTCTTGGTAAATTTTTAATTATGGTTTCAATTGGGGTGTATAGCATTTTTATATCTTCTTCATTCAACTTGGGTAATTCATATGTATCTAAAAATCTGTCCATTTGTTCTGTGTTCTCCATTTTATTAGAATACAGGATCTCAAAGTAAGTATTGATTATCCTCTGAATTTCTGCTGGATCTGTTGTGATTTCACCATTTTCATTCCTAATTGCATGAATTGGAGCCTTTTCTTTCCTTTTTTGATCAGGTTGGCTAAGGGTTTATAAACTTTTTTATTTTTTTGAAAAACCAACTCTTCAATTTGTTGATTTTTTTAGTATCATTCTTTTAGTCTCCATTGCATTGATATCTGCTCTGATCTTTATAATTTCCACCTTTATATGAGGTTTGGGTTTTTCTTGCTCGTCTTTCTCTAGGAGCTTAAGATTCACCATTCTGTTGTTAACTTGAACTTGCTCTGTTTTCCTAGTGTGGGCATTCACTGCTATGAATTTCCCATGCAGAACTGCTTTCATTGTATCCCATAGATTCCTGTATGTTGTTCTGGCATTATCATTAAATTGTAAAAGCTGTCCAGCTTTTTCTTTAATTTCTTCTGTGACCCATTGGCTGGTCAGTAGAGTGTTATTTAATTTCCATGTCTTTGTGAAGTTCTTACAGTTTCTTATGCTCTTGATCTCCAGTTTAATTGCACTATGATGTGATAATATAAATGGGATAACTCCAATTCCTTTGCATTTACTTAAACATGTTCTACGTAGCATGTGGTCTATTTTGGAAACTGACCCAAAAAGGATGTATATTCTGATTTTGTGGATTGAAACTCTGTAAACATCTATTAAGTCCATTTGTTCAAAAGCTTGGTTCAGTTCTATTATTGTATTTTTAATTTTTAGTCTAGATGATATATTTATGACAACAGGGTATTGAAGTCCCCCATTACAAATGTATTAGTGCTTACTTGGTGTTTCATGTCCCTTAAAATTTATTTTGTATAGTTGGGAGCATTAGTGTTTGGTATATATTTTATATGTTTAGTGTATATATTTATGATTGTCATCTCTTCCTCTTTTATTGTTCCCTTTACAAGGATATAGTGACCTTCTTTATTTCTCTTAATTGGTTTTAGTTTGAAGTTCACTTTGTCTGCAAATAACATAGCTAACACTGCTTTTTTCCAGGTTCCTGTCACATGGAGAACTATTTTCCATCCTTTTACTTTCAGTCTATGAGTTTCTTTTTAAAGTACATGTGTTTCTTGTATACAACATATTGTTGGATTCTGCTGCTTAATCCAGTCTGCTAGTATATTTATTTTGATTGGTGAATTGAAGCCATTAACATTGAAGGTTATAGCTGATATGTATTGACTTATCATTGTCATTTTTTTTTTCCGGTTGTTGGTTCTTTTTTATTTTTCTCCCTGTCCCTTTAAATTCTTGCCTATTGGATTTGCTCTGTTGAGCCTCATGGAGTTGTGACCTTCACTGTCTTTTTCTAGGATGTTTTTAAAAATTGTGTGGAGGGCTGGTTTGTTATTCATGAAATTTCTGAGGTGTTGGCATATAAATATCCCACATTTCTTCCCAGAACAAAATAATTAGGATTTACTTATATGAAAATTTATATGCACCCTGTTGGCAATTAATAAAATCAGATAAACCTAAATATTGCAATTTTAAAAGGGGAATGAAAATAGCATGTTGTGATTAATATAAATATAACACATACTCTCATATAAAAATATATGAGAACTTACTATAAAAGTTCTATAAATCTATTAAAATGCTTGTCTATGTAAGCATTAATGTAGTAGTAGTTGTAGTTTTTAATGATGCATGTTCTAGAAATACATGGATTCACTAACATAGCTAATCTAAGAGTAACATTCATGGTGCCTCCTACCTTGCAAATTCTGAGGAACTGCTCACTGGTGTACGTCATGGGATGCTCAGTGAAGGTGGCATAGGGAACTTCAGTAGACCAAGGGTTCCAGCGTGACAATAGGGACTGCTCCTCTGAGCTCCCCCAATAGATCCTAAGGCCTTCTCCTGGTCTCCTAAAAGAGAGAATTTTCCATTAGCAGCCATTTCTATCAGACTGAAACAAAATGTGTGCGAAAAGAGTGTAATTCTTCAATTAGACTTCATATTGCTCCTGAGATAAAAGGATTACAGCCCATCTAGTTAAATTGTTCAAGGGAATTAAGGAGGAGAGAAGAAAAGAATTATGCTATTTTCACAGAGTGAGTTTGAAGTGTCTTTGAGACTTTCACATGAAAATGTGAGTCTGGTGCTTAGGACAGTGTGAAGAGCTGGAAAGGTAGATGTTGACTTCAGGCTGATATTCTGAAGGTAGGAGGTATTAAAGAAGTGGAAAAAGACAGGAGTCAGGGTGGGAGATGGTCTCAAAGAGAAAGCAGCTAACGTGACAATCATATGGGACAGTTTCAACAAAACAGTAAACACATGTGAGCCCTGACTGAGAAGACCGAGGACTTGGCAAGTTGTAGGACACTTGAAATGAATGATGACCAGTTCACAGTGCCCAGCTTCTCAATCTAGTGACCTCAGTGTCTGTCGTGGTCCTCCATTCTCTGCACATGTCCTGCCCAGTACAACTGTGACAAAAGGTTGTATAGGTGTTGGTAGAGAGACTGTGACTGTCCATTCCCATCAGAATAACAGTCCTGATCCACAATACGTAGGAAGATGTAAGTCCAAGTACAGGGCTAAAGAAAGTCAGTTTACAAGTAAAGGGAGAGACATCAGGGCAGGGAAGTGTGGCTGCATTAAATTACAAAACTCATTTCTATGGTCTCTCCTTTTAGAGATGTCCATCAGAACTTAAGTTTTATGGGTTTCGACATCTCTGAAAGCAGAGATATCTGGAGGTTAAGCCAAGCTCAGGGGCTTTATATTGAACAATCGTTAAAGCTAAGTTGTCTGTAACTATAAGCAGCCCCACAAGACATCACAGAGGTCTCACTTCTGCTAGCAATTAAATCCCAGGATTTCTAGAATGACAAACCAGAGCTTCATTCTGGTGGCTTCAGAAAGCTGTCACTTCCTGTATTAGGGAAGGATTCCTTTGGGAATGCTATTGTAGTTTCTGAATGTTTATCCATATAGAGATGTGTATAAACACTCTCACCTATACGCATAGAGCAGCTCATTCCATAACTGGCTGATCCCTGAGCTGCTTCTTACAAAGGCACAGGAAGAAAAGACCCTGGCAAAATCTGCCTCCCGGGTCTCAGATTTTTGAGGATTGTATTTGACAGCAGACACTCAACATTTTTGTACTTAATCGGTTGCTCCTCACAACAAAAGATAGAAAAAGATAGAGGAAAAGAAAAATACTGTGCATGCCTCTAAAGTTCCCTAGGAAAGCTTCATCTTCTCAGCTGGGAGACTGGTATTTCTCACCTTCCTGTACTCTCCTTTGCTCTTTTTTGGCAATAAAGCTTAAGCTTCATGAATATTCTATGCATGTTGGCTAATGGAGCATTTTGGCTTGAGGCCATGAAAACAACTTGCACAATGAAATTATTTACTGCTTCATATGTCAGTTTATGTACTGAATGTAGGTTTACGTTTATCCGAAGGGGATGAAGCTCTGCCAAGAGAGCTTCCCTGTTAAGGGTACATTATATTATTTTACCTTAGGAAAACCTCAAATGAAGTTCACGCATGATATTCAAGAAGGACCCTGTTTCAAAGTAACCAATCAATTTGATAATGGTAATAACCATTCTCCGAGATGACATGTGCTATGCTCCCAAATATACGTACTCAGTCAACATTCTTGCCTGAACTCCAGAGATAAAACACTGGAAGGCAAACCTAAAGCTAGGTCATCTTCCAAAGGTAAAACTTAAAAGTGTAACTGACTGGGCATTATAATATTGATGTCGATCATCACCTTCCCTTCTCTCAAATGTCCTCAGGGCATTTATGGAGGCTGTAGATGCCTAGAAGACCAGAATTGCTTCATGCTACTAACTTGTGCTTCCTTGTGAAACAGCCTGCGAGCTAACAGAATGAAGTAAAAATGTAATGAATACTATATCTAACAGTCTTGCATTCAAGTCTTGCTTTTTGACACTTAACGTAATGTGACTGTGAGCCAGTAACATTCCCCTTTCTGAACCTCATTCTGAATTTGAATCTGAATTATCCCTCTCTCTGAATCTTTTGAATATGTTTCCTCATACTGAAAAATAATGTAACTCCCACATCTGTGGAATGCAGAGTCTTCTAACTGTTGTGACAGCCCATGTCTTCAGTAACTATGTGTAAGTGGTATAGACAGCCATGGTCACAATGTCACCTACTCAAGGACATAACGACATCTACAGGAAGCCTCTTCTTATGGTTTCTTCATTTTAGAAGTAAAGAATTAGCCCTCCTGAGCAGAACATACTTCTGCTGCAAGATCACAAGTATTGTCCTTTCACTCCCAGGGAATTTTAGGACTTGTCATGATATCTTACAAGCTTGTAATGTTACAAATAGAAATGAATAGAAGTGGTAGACTAGTTTAACTTTTACAAACTGTAGTAAGTCAGAAATAGAAGGACTTTTGGAATAGTAGCTCAGTACCTTCGTTCTGTCAGTGGGAAACCTGAGACTTCAGAAAGTATGAGGACTTTCCCAAACATCAGTGGAGGACAAGGATAAGCAGGAGAGAGCTCTGATCTCCTGAGACTTCCTTCAGGGCTCATTTCACTCTTCTGGGCTTGATTCACCAAAGACAATAAAAATTCAAGTCCTGTTCTTACATAACACAACCTTATTTCCAATAGACAAACTGCTAAATTGTCCTGCGAAGCTTGTGATAAATTACTGGTAAAACCCTTGCTCAGTGATCCTAGCTAAACATCACAAAAGCTCCATCTCAACACAAACTACATATTTTTATATATTAATATTAGCAATGTGAGATTATAGGAAAATAAGATAGCACTGGAAGTGAAGGGAAGAATTACAAGCCAGTCATGTTATCAAGGAAAGAATGCGGGTCCTTCTCACTCAGCTACTCTGATGGGGTTAAAGTTGGGATATGGCCTCGCACCAAATTATTATGCAGTGAAAGAACTCGTGGCTTTCTTTGTGAAGTTTCACTTTGGGAATAAACCACTCCATTCATTAGCTCTGTATCCTTGGGCATTTCATACCATCTTTCTGATCTTTAGGTAACTAAACATTTTTAAGGAATAAAAAAAAAATAGTGCATGGCAAAATGTGTTGCATGCTGTTAAGACCCTAGGAGGCTAGCAAATATTGAGTGCTTACTGTGTAATTTAATCCCTACTATGCACTTTTAAAGACCTTACATTTTATTTAAAATAGAAAGTAACTTTTTGAGCTAAGTTAGCTGACATAAATGTAGTTAGAAGAAATAAAGAATAGGACCATACTTAAATAAATTACCAAATTAAGAACTGCTAACCAAATGGAGTCCAAGGAAGAGGAGAAGCACATGACCACTGGACCCAAATAAAACCAGAGAAGCAAATCTCCAACACAGTGTAGGTTTCAGGCTGTGCTTCCCATGTCCATAGCTATTGACTTCTCTTCTTCCACCTAATTCTGAGGGCTGGGATACTTCTTACGTGTTCAGCCTCTACTTTCCAGTCACATTCTGGTGTGTATGATTTCCTAAATGTAAATCATCCAGACAGGACTTCAATTTGGAAAATTTAAGCCAGCCTGTCAATTCTCTTTTCATTAGACTAAATAAGCATAGTTCCTACATTAGCTTTTCTAATAGGACACAATTAATCTTTAAATCCCCTGTTATATGGCTCCCTAAAATACCCCTAAATCCCCTGTTAGCAGTGCCACCATTTACTTAGAAAATTTTCAGTTCATTGTATTGTTGGGAAATGAAGAGACTCAGCCCTGGATTGCAGACATCTATAATCGGGAGGTTTCTGTCACTCTGACTATTGTCTCTTTCCCAGACCTCAAATAGGTATAGACAGAAACTTTCCAGTCTCATCACAGAGGTAAAAAATCAAGTCACAATTTATTTCATGCCTATTTTTGTCATCAAGGAAATCAGCTGTACTTGGCTTTAATTTTCACAGTGGTAGGAGTAGGAAGAGGGATATATTTTTCACTTCTGGTAAATTTCTAAACATTCCAGAAAGAACTGCTAGTAGAGGAAGGGTTCCTTAAAACCTTAGAAGAATAAAAAGGTCTATAATAGAAATTTTTAGGGTCCTAGATTGCCTGTTTGACTTGGAAGGCCTCTTGGGAGCCAAAAGTTAATTCTTTTACACACACAGACACACAGACAGACACACACATATACACAGTTCTGCCTTGAGTGATGTTAATTGCATGTTCTTACTCAGTGACTCAGACCTAGAACTCTAAAGCACAGTTGTTGGCTGTATAGAGGCCTGAGCAATTACACTTTATTAACCACTGTAGGAAACCAAGGGAAGGTTCGCCGTGTACACCCAAGAAGTGAAGGCACTCTGTGGAGTAAGATTAACACAGAAGGAACTACTTGAAAAAAGTGGCAAAGGGCCCAAGCATGGTTCAACACCACAAAAAGGAGCTCCAAGCTGAATAGATAGAAAACTTTCTTCAATAACAAGCTTTGTGAGGCAAGAAATTGTTTCTGTCAGGAAAGACACTTCTTGAAGTCATTTTTAGTTGAACTAGAAAATATGCCAGCCGGTCATGAGTCTGGGTCAATTTGTTCATTCCACACATTCTTCCTTCTTGAGAGAGAAGCCGTGCATCTCTCTGTGTGGGGCCAACAGAGCCAGCTTCCTTGTCCTTGACTTCCTGCGTGTCTTCTATCCTGGTCTTCCCAGATTCTCTGCTAAGGCCCCCGAACAACCTGTTAGCAGAACGGAAGAGGATGTGTTGCTTCTCAGAAGGAGAAATGGCGGCGGAGGCCATTATTCCTTCCGTCAGCAGCCCCTCCTTTCTACTCTTCTCAAATCTCAAAGCTCCACCACAGAATTAAAAACATAGCTCGAGGCACCACAGAGATTTATGAGGAAGCACAGACATTAACTCTTGCTCTAAACGCAGG